CCTGTTTACATTTCGCATATCAGTTCTCTGGACTGCAGAAATAGAAAAGTGATATATTACTCATATCCTTCACTGATTACGTTCCCTACCGAATGCTTTCCCTAGCTTGAAGTGGGGGAATAACGTGCGTGAAATCTGATATCTTTAGGATCAATCTCCGTGGAATGGTTTTTTGGAGTCGTTCATAGGCTGATTTCCCCACCAGAGTACCCTAAGAGATACATTACCAGGGATATGACACGCTCTGTTATACATCAAGTATGTCAAAGAAGCAATCAAGCGCATCGTTGCGGGAATATTTGTTGGAATTGCACGTGTGGTCAAAAGTTACTATACGCAGCATTCTCATGAAAATCAAAGACTAGGTAAATCCACAGAAGCAGTTTGGGGGTAGTGTATCTCATTTCATGCATAAACTGGCCTCTTTATTATACTGATTATCCTGAATGCAGGTTCGGATCGCGCACACATAAGCATAAGCTAGTTGTACGATGGGACGAGGAATCATCACAAATGGCCGTTAAAACCTATGCAAAGGGCTGGAAAATCGCTCGAACTGGAGGTGGGAAAAGTCAAGAATTGATTGAAACTTGAGCCCGGGATTAGACCTCGGCTAATCAAAATATCGATCGGGCACCAGCATACATAGCATTGCGCAGTCAAGGTCAGAAGTTTTGTTCGTCCTTGATTGGTTCTTTCATTCTCATAGTTTTTGACTGCTCTTCTGCTGCTACGAAGATGGACTACTGCACAAATTCGGTAGCTCAGAATGATACAAACAAACGTTTGCTACGCTTGACACGTAAATTAGGAGAAGATCAAATTATTTGAGCAAATATTAATTTCAATGCGTACATATTCGAGACTGATCCCCCAGTTCGTCGTCACACCATGGGCTGTGAAAAAAATAATTGCCTTCTTAACGGTGTCTAAAGGCGCAGCTGATGGAACTACCCTGCTCACTGGAAAGACACAGAGTCTGAAACGCTGGAATGAGCACTTCCAAAGCGTACTCAAGTCGCCATCGACTGTTTGCCTCAGTTGGAAATGAAGCTGACCTCGTTCTCCCACCCATTCCTCAGGACACCATAAAGTCTGCGCAGCAACTCTCCGGCGGGAAAGCAACTGAATTCGATGCAATGCCTGCGGAGATCTACAAATACGGCAGCCACCAACTCCTATTCCACGTAACCACGCTTTTTCAGGAGATGTGGCGACAAGGCCAAGTCCCCCAGGACTTTAAGGACGCCACCTCTACTGTCCACCTCTACGAGCTAAAGGGGAATCGCCAACTCCGTGACAATCATCGTGGAATCTCGCTGCCCAGTGTCGCCGGCAAAAATCTTCGCCGAGGAGCAAAATTACAGCTTAGCTTACAGACTCAGTCTAATGAGCTTTCAGATTTACTAAGCTACTTACAGGCATACTCGAAGTCCG